TTGGCAGTTGTTGTTCATGAACAAACCTTGCACCAACCTTTCTCTCAACATCTTAGGCCTATATAACCCCAATATACTATAGCAGTCTCCAGTTTCTTTTCCATTATCCCTATATAGCCCCTATATAAGTTAGCCTAAACCCTAAACCCTAAACCCTAAATTGTAGTTTCCATTTTCTTTTCCATTATCCCTATATAGCCCCTATATAAGTTAGCCTAAGCCCTAAACCCTAAACCCTAAATTGTAGTCTCCAGTTTCTTTTCCATTATCCCTATATAGCCCCTATATACGTTAGCCTAAACCCTAAACCCTAAATTGTAGTTTCCATTTTCTTTTCCATTATCCCAAGATAACCCCTATATAGCCCCTAAACACCGAAGATGTCTGCTGCCATCATCCCAGTCGGCTGTGCCTTGCCTGGCTCAAGCGCTAGACGGCAGAATTTCCCCAGGGTGTGAAGGCGATGCTTTCGGCCCTGGACGGGGCTTGTGGTTTATACAGGTCTTTGAGGTTTGTATAGTCATTTTTTTGGCGGGAAGTCGGTTGAGGGGGTCTAGGGCTTAGGGCTTTAGGGTTGTTCCAACACCTTGAGGTTGTTGCATGGATGACAGCGCCAGCTACCTGTTTGTCTGGGTTAGGCAACGTCAGCAAGCAGTAATGGCAATAGTAAATGTAACCGTAACAGAAAGAGTAATAGGAACGGCAATAGTAGTATCAGTACCTAGTGAAAATAAATGTCAAAAACCGTGCAAACAATGTGCCAATGGCAATGGATAGTAGAACCCTTCGAGCGCAAGCGGCGGCCACATGAAACAGAAGGCTGGAAGACAAACACCATGTGACCCTAAACCCTCGATCAGCCCTAAACCTAAACGCCCTAACCCTCAGCAACTGGTAGCTTCCATAAATTCGGGAACCCCAACGTCGACCCCAGTATCCTATAATACTTTTGAGGTTGAGGGTTTAGCCTTCATGAAACAAGGGGACGCCCCAGACATGGTACCCTGGTTCTCGGAGACCCTACACAGTGGACAACCCTATAATAGTCCAAAATAACCCCTATATATCCCCTGCAGCCCCTTCAAGGGTCATAGTCCCCCTTAAGCAGATAGAATATGGGGTATATGGGGATCTTATGATAATATACTCAAAGCCATATTCTATCTACTTAAGGGGGACCCTAAACCCTAAACTCTAAATAGTAGTCTCCATTTTCTTTTCCATTATCCCTATACAACTCCAATATAACCCCATATTCTATCTACTTAAGGGGGACTAAACCCTAAACCCCTAAGGGGGACTATACCCTGATGTTGGGAAACTCTCAAGTATCTCAAGATGGCCAAGGCAGAGCTGGGAGTGATTCAGAAGATTCGGAAGTCTACATTCTACATAGGGCTGCTAGGGTTTAGGGTTTAGGCTTTAGGCTTTAGGGGTTTGGGGGTTTGGGGGTTTAGGGTTTAGGGTTAGGGCTGCTGTAAAGGAGCTTAAATTGGGCTATCATGTTGCGGAAACCTTGTTTATTGTCAACATATCCGCCTTACAGCAACTTTGTAAGTGTGTTTCATGACAGGAATAGAGTAAGTTGAGCCCCGACTTTGCTACCCTCAGCCCTAAGCCTTAGACTCTCAGCCCTAAACCCTAGACCCTAAAGCTTCTCATGCAAGAACTGCGGATCTCGTGGACTTCAAAGCTGCGAAGGCGCTTATCTTTCAGTCTAAACTCCCTAAAGGGGGGTTATATAGGGTTTAGGATTTAGGGTTTAGGGATTAGGGTTTAGGTTCCTGGGCCCTAAGATTTCCAAGCTGCTGCGTAGGGTCATGCAGGGTTTTGTCGAGACCTTAAATTTGACTAGGGCTGGCGGATATATCATCTGTGGACAATGTTGCCAACCAGTTAGGGACTTGTATACATTAACTTGGACCTGTGCCGAACTGGAATGCTCATTCATCCGCTTGCGAAACCGTAGGATGCGCATTTTAGGGGCTTCAGAAAGCACGATTCACAAACTCCCAATCTTTTGACCCCTTGAATTTTGGTGTGCCGGTATATGAATGCTACAGTTGAGAGCTTTTTTTTTGTGTGTGTGTGTGTGCAGTCACGAGATACTGCCTATGTGAACTCCCTTTGTTTTGGTGCTTCCTGCGCCAATTGGCTGGAGAGGTGTGGATCTGCTTGGAAGGATTCTAACAGGGACAACAAGTCTGACCATTCCCCTCCTGACAATGCGGTCATGACAAGGAAGCAAGGAGCTGATAGCTTCCTTTTTTTTCTGTTCTGTCTTGTGCCGTTCCGAAGAGTCACGCAAAAAAGTGCTTGATTCCTTGAAGCTGAAACTTGCTAGCCATCTCTCAAACCCCCAACCCAAAGGTCTCTAAAAACATTCTCTCAAGATCATCGTCCTAAACTCTGCATCCTAAGCCCCCTCCCCGCCACCAAAAGCCTGAAACCACGCTGAGCCACACTCAGGGTGGAGCCCAGAACAGCTCTTGTTTGGGCGCCCGGCCCTTAGATTCGAGTTTCGGAGTTGGGGTTGGCAGGCCTATGGGACCAAGCTTTGAGCCCGGAGTGTTGGGGATTTTTGTCTGGGTTTAGGGTTCTGCAACGATTTATACAGGGGACTTTCCTGTTTTTTCAAAGGCTGTAACGCGAGACCGAGTAGTCGGACCCAAAGACCTATATGGATATATTTATATATATATATGTATACATATGTATATGCATATATGTATGTATATATGAATATAAACATGTGTACATGTATGTATATATATATATATCATGTCGACACATGTATTGTAGGTATTCTTGTCCCTTAGAAAAGAAAGCATCCCAGAACCCCATGGTCCAATACAAGAGTCCCATCCTGAACTCCTTGATTTTGGGCTTACATGCGTATTAGTCCTCAAGCACTGACAGGCAGGTAGTGTCAAGGATTTTGCAAGCTAATGGAGATTTGCATATAGTTCCCCTTAAGTAGGTAGAATATGGTTTTGGGTATATTATAATAAGGATCCCCATGTATCCCATATTCTATCTACTTAAGGGGGACTATATGTAGTTAAGTTAGCATGATTGAAGCTCATGTTGTAGCTCGCACTTAAACTTTGACTTTGCATGAGGTCCGAAGCTTTCGCAGCCTGGTTCTCTCGTAACCTTGGCACTTCCAAGCATCACAGAAACCTGTAGCACACTCTGCACTGCAGATTGCTCAGGCATGTAAGTAGTTTCTGCTAGGGTTTGCTCACTGGTGGTAAGCAGGAAATGGAGACATGGATCCCTGTGGTACAGTAGTCATGATTTATATGAATATGCAGCAGGCGATGGAAGAGGCCCAAGGGCACATTGCGCAGAGAGCTCCGCAGATGCGAGAGGAGGTCAGATTAGTTCCTCTTGATGTCGTTGGAGACGGTGCGGATGGAGATTCGGCTGCAGAGGATGCAGGTGCCTTGGTTGAGTTGGGCAAAGCGCAGGAGGGGACAGCTCTGCAGATACCAGTGCCTTCCTACGCTCTGCTGTGCCGCGTGATTCCTGAGACAGAGGAATGGCTCTGCCAAAACATTCCGAGGGATCACGTAGACATGCTCCAAGCATATGTGAAGCTGAATGCTTGTGGGCTTCTGCTGCTGGCCAACGCCGAGGCAATCTACCAGGTAGCAATTCGACATGGAGAAAAGTTCACGGCACCTCCAGTGGTGTCCAGCCGACGAGCGCACTTTCGTTACCGCATGCTGGCCCTTGGGCGGCTTCTGCACCGTGACATCGGCTGCACTTGGTCCACGTCCAGGCAAACTTTGGCCTGGGGCCGGGATACACTCCAGAAACTTCTTCGGTACAAGGTCTTTGCTCAAGAACCTTCCGTAGACACCAGGTTCCGCCTCCGGCGGCTTGCGCGAAGGGTTTCGGACAGGCAGGGATCAGCAGCAGATCATGAGATGATCGAAATGACCGTGGGTTATCTCGAAGGAGCTCAGGCGGCTTTTGAGACCCTGATCCCAGCGGATGGCCGCCAAGGCATGAGGGAAGATTTGCTTCAAGCAGCTGCAGGAGGAGTTGTAAGAGCAGCTGCTTCTCAGGCTGGGCATGTAGGATTAGATGTTATGTTCGGTGGGATCCTACGCATCGGATGAGCCGAGCGGAAGGGTAGGGGTGTTGTCCCGAAGACTTTTTACGACATCCGAGCTCCGAATGCTCACTCTGCAACAGTCAGATTGAGATCCTGCCTGCTTTGACCAAACTTCGGCGCGGCTGAAAACAAGAGTTGCAGTGTGATCCGTCGACCATAAGTTTAGTGGCAAGATGCACAGAGGTCGACTACATTGGCTGTTGAGAGCCTTGGATCCCTAGATGCAAGCTTTCAAATCATCTTGGACTGCGCTGGGTGGTTCAGTGCTTGAATGCATGCGTTGGCATTAAGCTGGCTGTTAGGGTCAATGCGTCCTCTTTCTTTGCTTCTGAGGTCTGCATATCCGAGAGCTTGACGAGAAATGCAAGGCGGGTCTTTCAAAAGTACGTGCAGTCCAGTTGAAAGAATTAGCTTTTTCCCCCAGTAGTTGCTTTTGTTCTCTCCTGCTATTCCCAAGGGTCAAGAAGGCAGACCCCTACTTGAAGGGTCTGGCAAATCTGTAAGTAGGTCAGCAATGGGAATAACTGGTCCCATAGCTTGCAGGGCTTGTGTAATAGGGCCTATATGGCCTATGTGACATAAAAGTACTTGCCAAGTCTCCTAACCCAAACCCCTAAATCCCAAACCCCAAACCCTAAACCCTGAACCCTAAGCGCTAAACCGTGAAGGATTCCAAGGAGTAGAGTCCGGCTCAAAGTTTGTCTTTGTGGGGAAGTGGTCAAAACCTTTCTACCCAGAGGCCCTGGGGTTGAAGCCCCTGGGTACCCTAGGGTTTAGGGTTTATAGTCCCCCTGAAGTAGATAGAATACTACGGTTCCATTGGGGTTATACAGGGATAATGGAAACGAAGAAGGAAACTACTATTTAGGGGTTACGGTTTAGGGTTTAGGGTTGTAGACCCATGAGTAATAAACCCTCTCCTTTTCCAAGGGGCTTAATCTTAGAATCCCTATGATTTATTGCTACCGATTTGTTACTATCCCCATTAATTAAGGGGAGGGGGTTTATTCATCAGGGGTCTGGGTTATAGCAATCTCCAAGACGCTCTGTTGGCTTAGGGCAATACTCAATTGAAGTGCGCTTTCTTTTTTTTTTTTGTGACGCTGCACGAGGACTGAAATTATCCATAGGATCAGACGAGCCTATGATAGCCACCTAAGGGTCAACCCTTAGTAGGGGTCCTAAGTGCCACGTAGAATCATATTCAGCAATCACTTCTGCGGGAAAGCCAGGATCGCACAACGGGCTTGACACATCTGTCCAGATTTGATTTGCACCGCAAATTCGTTTGACCGGTCACAAAATGAGCCGTTGCACTGCGGGGTTGTCTTCTCGAAATGTAGTTTCTTCCTCTTGGGGTGTTATATAAGCATCCTCATGATAGCCCGTAAGGACATTCCTCGGACTTTGCAGGGATTGTTCGCCAAAGCCCCAAGGTTGCACCTTGCACCTGCCAGCCAAGATCCAGCTGTATCCTGTTCAGATGGTTATTCAGGACAGCGTGGATGTGTCCTTGGGTTTAGGGTGTAGGGTTTTGCCATCCGTGAGCATGTTTGTCATCGTTTCGCTAAGGGAGTGTTACGACCTGCCGGAAGCAATAGTAGGGTTGGTGCTGGAAAGTGTTTGCGGAGTACAAATTGCGAGACTCGCTCCTTGCAGAGCCTGCGGTCACTTCTGCTTTACCCAGCTCATTGTGAGTTTTGGTCATGCTTTTGCTGGACAACAGCCAGGTTATGTTTGCTTCAATCCCTTGATGCCTTCCAACAACCGGGCTTGCGAAACGGGTTTAGGAGCTTAAGATTTCCCGTTCCCTCTTTCACGTCCCTGGAGAGCCCAAGAGATTGTGTCGCTTGCATGGTCCTCACCTGCAGGTAGCATATTCTTGAACATGCAGCTGGTTTTTTCAAGGGTTCGTGGAGGATTTAGAAACCCTAAACCCTAAACCCTAAGTGGGTAATTTTTGCTGAGACGCATAGAAACAGTCAGACTGACCATGATCCTACTTACATATTTTGGAGGCCCAAGCGCGTTACTCGTCACTTAAGACGATCTGCTGGAGACACCTAGCTACTTGGAGGTGCATGGGACTTACTAACTATTTATCACTGGGACTATAACCCCCTTATAAGGCCCCCTTAGCGGGATTATAATTAGGGTTATACACCCAAGTATAATTAGTTACCAAGTCACATGAGCCTCCAAGTACTATTTTCCAGAAGCCCCGAGGGTCTGAAGGGGGACGAATGTTCTGTAGTCAGGTTTAGGGTTTAGGGTTTAGGGTTTGGGGTTAGGGTCACTGTAGTCTTTGGAGGGGTGCAGCCCCAGCTACCAGACCCCGCCACGCATTGATATCAAGGATCTAGCAGACAATTGAGTTCTCGGAGCTAGATGGCAATCGTATATGAACCCTTCTAGTGCAAGCATCCGACCCCTTCAGAGATAACGGATGCTAAACCCTAAACCCTAAACCCCAAACCCTAAACCCTAAACCTGATGGATTTTAGAAGTGAAAGTCTCCAACCACCACGTCGCTTCTTTGCGCCCATCGCCTTGCAAGGATTGCTCCAGGTGCACTTGAAATCACAGCCTCTACAATTTGCTAAGCCCTAAACCCTAAAGCCTAGATCCTAAACCCTAAGCCC